TGATATATCGTATCAAGAAGTTTGTGCCTCGCCTCATGATGGAATGGAAATGGATGGAATTACGAATTGACAGGCACCATCTCAAAACTGTACGTCCTGGTGCGTTTTGCTGATGACAGCCACTTGGAACGGAACCCGGTTCCAGAGAATCAAGAAGTCGTAGTATTAGGGATGATGAAAGCAGACATGGAACATATTATCGTTTATTTCTTTATTGGTGCTTGTTTAATTTCCTAGGTTTTAAATTTTAATGTGTTCTTCTGGAAATGGGAACATAAACCACAAATATGATGATAAACTGGTAATGGTTTCTATATTGTTTTTGGTCGTCAGAAATTACTGACGATATTATACTTTTTTGTAAGTCCCACACTATAAGTCTTCTGTTATATATTACCTATGTATGTTTTACATGTATGTGTGTATTTGTTTACTTGTCCTTGTGCCTTCCGTGTTCCACATGTGCAACTCGTGTTTATACGAGATAGAACAACCAACGTACAACAATGATATGGAGTGCAGTTCCGAGACATATTAAGTTTACATATAAAAGTTTGCTAGTAAACAAAAATGTCCTTATCTCCTCCACGTTTTTTCTTGGCGGTGAGCAGCGCAGCTCTCGGCATGCATGCTGCTCATGACCCGGCCCGCCTCATTCGTTTTGCCAGATCTGATTTGTTTTGGTCGAATCGAAATTAATTAAATTAAATAAAAGAAGTATAGTACAAGTGATCGAGAGCAACAAACTAACCGCAGGAGGCGCCGACGGTATTGCATTGGTCAATGATGGTTTTGTCCAAACCACCTCTCGCTGCTGGCTTTACTCGCAGTCCCAGGCAGATCATATCGATGAACGTGCACTTTGCTTGCTGCAAACCCAAACAAAGACGCCCTGCAGCGCCAGGTCAGCTCAGATCTCCATGTCTTTTTCGATTTATCCTAAATCAAATATTACTAGATTTAGTAATTAATTTTCAAAAATCTATGTAGTTTAATAACATGTGAACTATATATATATTATAAAAATATTACTAAGAAATCTATGTAGTTTACGATAGGGGGCCGCGACAGAGGCGGCGACCCAAGGAGACGGTGGAGGCCACTTTGAGCTGGGTTTCTTGTGATCTTTGCAGTTGTTTTTCCGTCCAATTTTATAGTAAATTCAATCGTAGGAATCCAGACTCTGCTTGATTTGATTTTCAGGGCAAAGAAATGCGCATCGGAAAAGGGTTAGATGTTCTTTCCAATGAAGACGGAGGCACTCGTGCTAGATCTGAAAGAGAAGATCTGAGTTAAAAGATGGTTGTGGTCGAAGGCGACGAGAACGCCACCGGAGCTCAGCGGAGTGAGTGCCAGTAGAGAGAACAAGGGGGAGAGAGAGATACAAGTGAATGAATGAATAGACAGCGAGAGCGAAGAATAAGCATGCACGCCTAATAACGCCCAGAAAAGGTAAACAATAGTTGTACGTGCACATACTACGGTACAACAAGTCCCCCAACAGTTTGGAACTTTGCATGCATGCATGAGTGAGCATGGATCTTCCGCAGTCCCGCTCCACCATGGATCCGAGGAGTACGTTCCAAGGTTACGAAACCAGAAGCACACGCTACTCGGATCCGTTCCGTTTGTGGCTCGTTTTACAAGTTAGTAGGTAGCGTACTCGTGCTTGCTACGGGATAGCTAACATTTTATATTAAAAATATACGGATCACACGATAAGATAATAATACTATAAAAATTAAATATCAATATTAAAGAGACATTTAATCCAAAAAAAAACAAATTGTGTGAAATTAACATAAGTCACGGAGAGCGCGGCGTCGCATGCTCACAAACTCTACTTTATAGATCTTTTTCCGTGACGTGGCTAAGATAATGTTTTATATTGATCGGAAGAAATCTCCGATATCCATTTCTTTCGTGCGCTAATAATTACCAATGTTGAATATCTGGACTCGGATACAGATAGATCTAAACTCTCTAAACGAATTCGATCTCGGATACGTTCGAAAAATATCCGTACCGTTTTCACCCCTACTCATAACAATGCCCAAATAAATGGATTACAAATTACATCCACCAAGGTTCATATGCAATAGACAAATTACATCCGCAAGGTCCATGGCTCTAACAAGTTAGAAAATAATAATAAAAAATCTAGAATTGGAAATTGAATTGTCTTAAGAACTAAAACAAACTAAAACAGTTTTGCTGAGCCGCTAGTGGTCGTGCTTGTCTGAAATTAAACTGCATGTTGATCAATAGTATTGGACGAAATGATCTATTTAAATGGTCACATGATACACCGTATGTTTGAACAAACTGTATGAGTTTGATAGCTACTGCTCCAAGCCCCTGCAAATGGTAATATGTCAAAGAAAGTTAACCTTCCAAACTAACAAATATGCATTAAGGTAGTGTGTCCGTGCGTTGCTACGAGACAGCTAAACTTTTATACTAAAAATACATGGATCGCACGATAAGATAACAATACTATAAAATTAAATACCGATATTAAAGTGATATTTAATATAAAAGGCAAAGTTCGTAAAATTAACACAGTCACGGAGCGCGCCGTCGTAAGCTCACAAACTCTACTGTATAGACTTTTCCGTGATGCGACTAAGATAATGTTTTATATCGGCAGAAAGAAATCTTCGATATCTATTTCTTTCGTACGCCAATAAATCTACGAATAAGTTCTGCCGCATCTTCATACCATTCTGTGCACAAGTTCGAGTATATATATAAATATTAATTCCTATCACATGGGGTAATACTGCGTGTCTTAAAAAATCTCTTATAATACCTTAAGTATGTTATACTCGCCGTATATCACACAGACATATACTGTAGAATAAGGTATCCACTTGAGTGTCTATGGCAAGATTCACCATCAGCAATATATAGAAATGGTTAAATCATAGGTATTATTATTGCAAGCGACGAATAAAAGTAAATTAGAGGTTATCATAATTGTACATTTGATTCTTCCTAGTTTTTTAAGATGATGTCAAGGTAAACTTCAAAATATATCATTTTCATGCATTGTGTCTGGGTACAAGCTAATTCACTATAAAATAATAATTGAAATTTTCTCTCTCTCTTAGTTCAAAATTATAAGATATTTTGGTTTTTCTAGATATATTGTTTTAATTATGTATATCTAAGCATATAAAAAGTTATGTATCTAGAAAAGCCAAAGCGTCATATAAGTTGGAATTGAAAAAATATTTTTCTGTAGATTCATTGGTCCACTCTAAATTAGTTAGAAACACTTTCACAAGGAGAAATTATCTACTCAGAAACCACAAATTCAAGTTCAAAGGTTTTTAAATTTGCTTCACAAAGTCAATCGTCAACTCTTCATTGAGGCGTGATGGCTGTCAGTTTTACTACCTCCCAAGCACCATCCAGTTCCAGCCAACCTCTAAATGTCTAAAGTTTTCAACACCATGTAAGCATCATTCCATACTCGATTTCAATAAGCTCTGCTTCTAAACCACCCTCTCCAAACTATACAACCTCCCCGTTGCATGATCTAGGACCTCACTACTTCGTGCAAGTAGTTTGGGTACAAAGAAACCATCTGCTCATCATCCTGCCCTAAGAGTAGCATGTAATTCTGAAATCATGACACATATCAGATTCTTGGGACATGTCTACACGAGAACCAATGCATGAAGGGATATGATTGGTAAAGAATGGAGAGAGAATGTATGTGGTTGGAAAAAATATTGATATGTAGAAACTATCCATTAGGACCATGATTTCTATATATAGTGTCTATGAAAATTAATAGGTATAACATTGTGACTGCCCTAATACATTATAGAAACACCAGAATAACTATTTTTTTCACAGGTAGAAGTACAAAATTGAGAAGCAAATTGTCAAGCTTGTTTGGCTAATCTATAAGCATCTTGTTTAAATATTCGTCAATAAATTGTGGAAAGATAATGTCCAATTAATCAAAATATACAAGTCAAAGCATGGGCGAGGGAGGGCGTGAGGGCGGAGGCTGGTGCGAGCGAGGGCGAGCTAAGCTGGCGAGGGTGGGCGCTATGGCGAGGCCACAGGATTTATAGCAGAAGATTGATAGCAGTCTCTCTCTTTCCTTTTGTCTTAATTTTCTTTCCTTCTATGTTAATTCTCTTTTCTTTTACTCGTTGTCATGTATGCTGGTGCATGCAAACATGTAATGTGTATATGGATAGCCCAATAATTTTCTACTTCCTATTTTACAAACATGCAATATTCAATCAAGAAGACAAATCACGGGCTTTCCTTTTCTCGCTCGCTTGTTTCCTTTTCTCGCTCACCCGTTGGATAGCGTGGGAGGTGGGACCGATCGCATGGGGTAGCAGACGGACGAACCAAGGTAATTGTCGTACCAAAACGATGTCCAAATTTTGTTCTTTTTAGTTGTAGGAGATTAAGTTATTATTATATAGGGAAGGGAAAAAAAGAAAAAGAAAAACGCGTGCGTGAAGAAGAGGTTAAAAGGAGGGGATAAATATAGGCGATGATGGATTGGATCGGATAAAAATCCAGATAAAATTTACCGCGCGCGTTTTGAGGAGAAGATAGGAAATTAGGAAATCAGGAATAGGATAAGATTGTGGGGCGTCCGAAATCCGCGCCTACCGACCGGTGGGCCCCGCGCCACCGCACGCAGTACTGACACCAACAGACGGGGCCCAGCGTGCAGAAAAAGAAATCGATATCTGAATTTATCTATTTTCTACTCCGAGTAGGATAATTATTAGTATTTTTTTTACAGGCGGTGGAGGTGTTATTACTATCGGATAAAGACGGTAATCCTAATCTGATCCCCGTCGACGAACTCCGTTATAAAACCCGAGCACCTCCCTCTCTCCGTCCTCCACCGCAACACATCACAATCGCCTTCTCCTCGCGTGCAGCAGTGCAGCAGCAGCAGAAGAACGATCTCTTTCGCGTAGTCGCGTCCACCCCGCAGCAAGCCAAGCCAAGCAATGGCGCCCCTAGGAGATGGCGGAGCTGCGCCGGCGGCCAACAACCTGGTGGTGTCGTTCGGAGAGATGCTGATCGACTTCGTCCCCGACGTGGCCGGGCTGTCGCTGGCCGAGTCGGGCGGCTTCGTCAAGGCCCCCGGCGGCGCCCCCGCCAACGTCGCCTGCGCCATCGCCATGCTCGGCGGCTCCTCCGCCTTCCTCGGCAAGGTACGTTCCTACGGCGGCACCCCCATCCAGCCCCGCCCCGTCCGTCCATTGCTTCTTCCTAGTCGTAGTACGTACTTCGATCCTCGCGTCTTCTAGATCCGGTCCGGCCAGCCGCCAGCTTAGATGCCGCGGCGGCCGGCGGGCGGATCTGGTGGTGTAGTGTGTGATCTCGACCCAGATCTGATGATCGTCCCGCGGCCCGCGCCCTGGCCGGCCGCGGATCCTCCTGATCGCCGGCAAAGTCCGGGCGTTGACCTGCTGCGTTGCAGTATTTAGTTCGCGCATGCCATGATTTTTGTTGGTATTTTTCAGTTTCTAAAGTTGACCGATGCCGATGCGTACTGTGTTTCTTGGGCGGCAAAATCGTTGCAGCTAGCTGTGCCTTGTCGTTCGACGGATGCCACTATAGTGGAGCTGTTTGGGCTTGCGTTTGTTTGTTGGGAGGAGGGAGTGGGTGCGCCGGAGCCAGACAAAGGACTCGTTTGTTCTTGTCGCCGCGTGACCTCACCCCCCTTGCGGCCTTGCACCATTTTCTAATCGCCGACGGCGGCAGCCGAAGCCCCACTTTACTCGATCTTACGTTTTGTTTGATGATCCGAAAAAAAACCATTTATTTATTTATATTTATTCTCAATCACCATGCTAATAGTTGTAAAAGGTGTTTTTTCTTTATAAAGGAAAAAATTAATCTGAAAAAGGCAATCTATGATTTTTTGTTGTTGTTTCTTTATACACATGGGATGGGACCCTGCACGTGGTAGCCGTGTGGATGGTTTTCCACGGACGTACCTGACCTAGTAGGCCAGCTCGTCGTTGTTGTCGTTGGCCTTTGGGGTCACGCGTGGGTGCGTACGCATACGCATACGTACACACACTCTCTGCTGCGCTCTGCCTGCCTGCCACTGGTGTCGTGTCTTTGCTACTGCACACGCACGGTCCATTATTAACGTTATTATTGACCTCTGACCTCTGGGATTACGATGTGTCACTGCGCGCCGTTCCGTTCAGTGCCCGGCTGACTCGGATCTGACACCCGCTTGGCAGTTGGGGTCGTCGCGCCTTCGCCTTCCGAATCGGATCCTCCAACCAACAGCCCAACGAGAGAGTTATTTATAATCAGTTAGATTACATTACATTATAGATTAAAAAAAACGTTGTTTTTACCTTCTGTTTGCTTGGTTATTAAACTGAATCACTAAGCAATGTACGTGATGTAATTGTCCCACCTGCCCTGATATACTAACTTGGACGAAGCCAAAACTTGTTACTTCATCCCTGATTATATAAATTGAACACACACTCAATTCATAATCTGCACAGTAGTTGTGTTTTTTTTTTTTGCTTCTTCGATTCGATTCAACTGCATTGTTTGTTTGCTGCTATTAATCATGCTGCAAAACTAATGGCTTACTGCTGACCTGCAGTTCGGCGACGACGAGTTCGGGCACATGCTGGTGAACATCCTGAAGCAAAACAACGTGAACGCCGAGGGCTGCCTCTTCGACCAGCACGCCCGCACGGCCCTCGCCTTCGTGACCCTGAAACACAACGGGGAGCGTGAGTTCATGTTCTACCGGAACCCGAGCGCGGACATGCTGCTGACGGAGGCGGAGCTGAACCTGGACCTGATCCGGCGCGCCAAGATCTTCCACTACGGCTCCATCTCGCTCATCGCGGACCCCGTCCGGTCGGCGCACCTGGCCGCCATGCGCGCCGCCAAGGCCGCCGGCATCCTCTGCTCCTACGACCCCAACGTCCGCCTCCCGCTCTGGCCGTCCCCCGACGCCGCCAGGGAGGGGATACTCAGTATCTGGAAGGAGGCGGATTTTATTAAGGTCAGTGATGATGAGGTCGCGTTCCTTACCAAGGGGGATGCGAATGATGAGAAGAACGTGCTGTCGCTTTGGTTTGAGGGGCTTAAGCTCCTCATTGTTACCGATGGAGATAAGGGGTGCAGATACTTCACAAAGGTTTGTTTTGTTGGATTCTTTTTTTATATATATTGTTTTTCTTTCTGATGATGATTGTTCTTTGGAGGATGAATGAACAACCAAGGAATGCTGACTGACATTGTCCACCAATGTACCAATGCTTTCAGGACTTCAAGGGCAGCGTGCCCGGCTTCAAGGTGGACACCATCGACACCACCGGCGCCGGTGACGCCTTTGTTGGATCCCTGCTAGTCAACGTCGCCAAGGACGACTCCATCTTCCACGTAAGACACACACACATCGATCTCCATCTCCATCTTAATTATATATCTGCTGCTTTCACCAATCACAAATGTCGTCAAGAACGTGCTGCTGATCAATCACGTACTGTTTTTATTCAGAACGAGGAGAAGCTCCGCGAGGCGCTCAAGTTCTCCAACGCCTGCGGCGCCATTTGCACCACCAAGAAGGGCGCCATCCCGGCGCTGCCCACGGTTGCCACCGCCCAGGAGCTCATCGCCAAGGCAAACTAGACGCTCACGCACGCCGCCACTCTGCTCCATCACGTCGACGTCCTCAATTTGAATTCATTAGGGAGACTGTTGTTAGCGTACGTCTCTGCTCTAAGCTGAGACTGTTTGGTGGGTTAATTAATTTAGCTTTTCTGCTTTTGTGGTGTCAGTGTGAGAAGAACATGGTTTTCGCCCGGGGCATTAATAAAAATGTTGGCATGCGTGGTGGATAAATTTTTTTACCTTCAAATTTCCATTGTGTCGTGAGGAAGGCTGCTGTAATCTGATGCCTTCGATGCAACTTTCAGAGTTTTCAAGGAACGTCTTAAGATGAAAAAAACGTACAATTGTGTAATGGCTTCTGTTGATCGACCGTATGATTCCAATGTGCAGATATTGTTCGCCACTTCGACTTGGCTGCAAAGATGGTTTGGTTTTAAATACCACAAAAATCTCAGTAGACATGGTTTCAGTTTTTCTGAAAACCCGCTGAAATCTCTCGAGATTTAGTTTTTTCCCCTGAAAACCCGTAAAAATCTCTATAGCCCACTACCAAGTTTCTGTTTTTAAGTCCCTGACCGCTCAAAAAGTTCAAGATCCCTTCTTCAGCGACCATATGGTTTTAGAGTTCAACCATCACTATTTAAAACGTGTAGCCAAGGTGGTGTTGGGCTGCCGCTCTGAAAAGATGTTAGCCTATCAGATATCAGGTACCAAATGCAGTTGCAAGGTCCAACGTACAATCAAAATTTCAGCATCTCCAATCAATCCACGTAGAGTAGATTACACATTTTTGAGATGCTGTGATGTTTCACCAGCACTGCGGAGGATAGGATTGAAAAACTCAGTACATATTGTAAGGTCGATGTTGTCTTTTTACATGGGCAGGGTTTTTCTGCGCGGACGCAACGTCACATTCACCACACCGCGAAGGTGGATTTAGACTCCGGGCGAAAAGAAATATTCATTGCTTCCATCGGGTTAAGACCGAACAATGTAGATCCCTAGTTCAAATTGCTACTACAGGTCCATCATTCTAACATAGGCATGAAGCCACCAGAAATCTGGGCAGATCAAGCTGGATGAGGCATGGAGATCCACGCACCTGCACGGCTGCACACAATGCGAGTAGCTGAGTCCAAGAAATATATGCGATATACAATAGGCAAAGTATGGTTATGCATGTGTCAGATTCTTGAAGTTTACAGCTGAGAAAAAGAAAACAGAATGGCAGGACCTCCTGTTATATATCCATTTATGGCCTAAAGTAGGCAAAGTACCCAAACATATTAACCGTGATGTGTGAATGTGAAAAATAACTCGGGGCAAAAGTCAAACGAGCAATTTAATCACCAGAGTGTAACGTGAAATGGTGAGTGATAATTATTTGACAAGCACGAGGCAATAGTTGCATTGTAAGATACCAAACTAACCTGCCTATTGATATCACTTCTTAAGCAACAGATTTCGGAACTCCTCATTTGATTTCAACTCCCCTGCGCCATCTGGTTTCTTCTCATCCTTGTTGGTCCATCCAAGAGGTTTAACCACAGCTCGTGGTGCAAAACAGGTATTCTTCCCCGTGGTTTTTGCATCACCCTTGGGTACTTCATTGTCTGGTCCACTGGATCCTGTTGCTTTTGCATCATCACCACTACTCTGAGGTAAATTATCTGGAGAAAGGAATATGTTACAAGATTCGGATAAGTAGAGAATCTGAAGCTGCTATGTACATGTAGCCCAGACCATCAGTGACAATATAGTACATGCAGAAGTGGTGCAGGTCTCTATTTCTAGTCTGATGCACATGTACAGAAGATACACCATTCTTCTAAAGAAAACCATATGCGCAGTTTATTCAATCTTCAAATTTCTGTGGCTAACTAGTATTTTTGAGATTTATTTTCAAAACTTCCGCATATAGCTTATGGAGCCTAGCTGGTGGTTTCCATCCATATTTTACCTACTACTTTTAGTGCAAAAGAGTAAAAGGTCAGGTGTTCCATCTGTTAATGAGCTGGCACCAATCTTCACGCTCCAGGGACAATATAGCAGTTCTAAAGTTCTTAATCCTTTTTGTTCTACAAAGTAATTGTTTGCTTTAGGTTGATCCATTCATGCAATTTTGAAAATATAAAAAATGCCAGACTGAATGTTTTCCACTGGCAAACAACGTACCCTGGCTAGCTTGACCTGCTTCGCGGCTCTTCTTACCCTTGCTTGGATCTGATCGCGCGATACTCACTTTCTTTCCAAGCAACTTCTGCTTGTTTTTCTTAATAGCTGCCTCAAGATGCTTGTTGTCTGAAAAGTCCACATAGGCCAACCCCTGTAAAAATGATAAGGGAAGACAAATCAACAAAAGTGTAATTCAAATTCTTTACTAACACCCATAAAACACGACAACTCAGATTTTCTGCACTTAAAAGCAATACCCATGAACATAAACAGAAAGCAAGATGGTGATAGTGGTAGCACCAACGACGGGGCACTTTAAAATGCGCTGATCACGACTTCACAAGGACCATTTGAAGAAAAGAAAAAAACTCAACCAGCGGGGTAAGACAGCCCCTGACCATTTTGCTAAGAAGACATTCTCACGCATGTTGAGAAAACCCCCAAACTCTGCCCCACACCCTGAGCATTTTGCTAAGACATTCTCACGCAGGTCTAGAAAACACCCAAACCCTGCCCCACCCATACACAGCAGTACCATAGCCCATGTGAGAACAACCATGACCGGGCCGGACCTTAGACCTATGCTTTGGCGTGGGACAGACAAGGGGAATTTTTTAACCCCAACCTGAAAATTGATCCCATGGGGTGTCGAACCGAGGACCTAACTCAGCTAGAGGCCCTTTCGCTATTTGAATAAAATAGTCTTGCACATTTGGGAAATACAGCAACAAAATGGTGAAACATAAAAGTCCACTAGAGTCAATTTCCATGAACACTTATTGGCAACCTGACTTTGCAATTTTGACCTAGGAATTAAAAGAGCATCTAGTGGGTTTCTCAGCAAGCAACAGCCCCATGTCTTTACCCATCATCGGCAGACTAGGGGTGCTGCTTGGGTTGGTCCTCAGCTCAGCTGGTAATGTAGGTCCCTGGGCAAGCTGGAAGTTGGAGCAGCGGAGAATCACAAAAGCTGGAGAAGGATGAAAGCTGTGTTTTTCAGGCAGACTAGGAGGGGTAAGATACATTCAAATCTGTACTTTGATACGCCATGCGCTCTTCAACCTAATATTGTAGTGTCAGCATAAGAAATACAAACTACCAGAGCATCCAGTGAACTAATCCTGGAGCAAGAATAATCGACTAGGGCCTTATTTTATACTGCAGCCTGCAGAGATGCACTGTACCGGTTTCAACAAACAAGCAAAGCATATTACACTATGGGATACTAGAGGCAAAAAGAAAAAAGTAGAATTAAGTGTAACATATACCCTTGATTTTTTGGTGAATCTGTCCCTCAGCAATCTTATTGCCGTGGCACCACCAATGTCAGAGAAGAATCGTCTGAGATCATCCTCATTTGCCTGTAGAGAGAGGGGTGAGTTAGTTTAATGAATTTTAGGAGCTAAGTGCATCTAAGATCAGAAAATAACATACCTTCAAGTCAATATTTGACACAAAAACTGTACACTTGTCATTATAGAAGGATGGCTTTGGTTCATTTGAACTTGATTTCCCTATTTGGCTGTCACCATCCACTTTCATCTCCATAGATGCCACGACCTTCTCCCTGCTGGCCTCTCCAACTTCTACAGTAGTAACAGCACCACTGTGCCCACTTTGTAGATTTGATCCTTGGTCATTTGATGGCATGGTGCTTTTTGGTGGATTCTCTTTTCTTTTCTTAGCAGGGGGCTGCTGTTTATTGGCCATCTTACTTGGTTTTCTTTTTTGAGAGGAATCATTTGCATTAGAATTATCATTGGGGTTAGGGTAAGCCTCAACTTTAGCCTCCTCTTGAGACTTAAACATCATAAGCTCCTTTAGCCGAGGCGTAACCTGGTCAAATAGAAGGATAATAAGGCGGTGGACTATAGTTGACATGATAAGTTGATAACCCATGCTATCATCAAATGTACACAGTTCAGTTAGAAACACTTTAAACAGTTGAATAGATATCAACTTATCATGGCTAGAACTTTAATCCCTGCAAAGATTCAATAACAAACCCAAGGGGCCAACAGCTGATGATTCCACATAGGATTTAATCACATGAAAATCTGAATGATGTCAAAGCTTTCATGACTAATCAAACTTTATGCAGAAGGAACCAGGAATCTTCAGAAAATTATGTTCCCATGGTTATTAATCAATAATTGGTACGCCAGATCTTATGTATTGCTCCTTTTTATCAAATGCACCAAAATAAGTGATTCATGTGTAGATGACAAACTGAAGAAACAATCACTCACATGCTGAAGGACCATGCAGGGCACACCAAGCCAGTTTAACTTTATGTTCGCAAGAAAAAAATCCAGTTTGCAACCAGAAAAGCCAAGTGAACAAGCGAAACAGAAGAATACCTTCTTTACAGCAAGGTCATAATCATCCAAGGTGCCATTCTCCTCTTCAAATCTTATCCATGAGTGACATATCTCCTAGCAAGTTTCAGATCACAGCATTCGAAAATAAATCATCAGTATTAATGAGAATTATCATGTTGAAACATCAATACTTAAGCTACTATTTAAGAGTCTGGTTCATAGGAAGCAGCAGGAGTACATCAGTAGCTACATAACACAGGAACTCAGGTAGCGTCAAAGTAACCATACATATTCTCATATTTGTTTGAGAATAGATTACCTCTGATCCAGAACCAGCAAATCTTTTGCTATAACAACGCTTATAAATGGATCTCGCCTCATGTACATGGCCCATTTCTATCTCCATTGAAATGTACTGCTCCCAAACTTCAAAAACAGACCCACTGGAAGAATAATAGCTGATTTAAGGATGTCAGGTAAAAGAACAAAAGAATAATTTGCAGAGTAAAAAATAAACCTTTTCATGATTGCGTTTTCCCAAACTCCACGAGCTGCAGAAAGATCTTTGCCAAGACTATGCTCTAGTTTTGCCCAATAAGCATATAAGCGCAGTAACTCCTTGGTATCCAGTTGAGATGAGAGGAATTCTGCAGCATCCTGATATTAAATCACATTATTAATTATAGTAAGAATTAAGAAAATATGTAAATGATGAGGTGATAGAAATAATGTACCGTTAATGTCTGCCTAATCAGTTGAAAATCCAACCCATCAGAAATCCTCCGTCTTAAACCATGAACTCGAGTAAGATAAATATTGAGATACTGCAATTGTTCAGACATCCAAATAAAGATAAATGAGAACCACTTCCCACCAGAACAGTTAACAAGCAACAGACGTTGGAGAGAACAAATTCTTGATGAGTTGTCTGCTTTTACGTAGAAAGCTTTTCTAGAACATGCAGGAGAGCAGCATATCATTTCATTATAAGAAGCAAGGTCTGAAACACAAGGAAGAAATCCCCAACACTCACACATACAAACACCCACAACACTCTAGAAGACTAGAACAAAAATAAACCATGCACATTCTTGCTCACCTCTTGTATGGTTGAAAAGGAACATTGTATTGCCCGTTCAAATACCTAAAAGCACATACAAGCACGTACACTTAGCTCCCAATTATAAATAAAACAAACAGATGAAGACAAATAACAATCTTCTAAAACTACAAAAAGAGTACATATAACAAAAGAAATGCAGTGAACACATTAGACATTCACGATACACAATGTAGTTATATAGAACATACATGCTGCAGCTCTTCTTCAGAAGCACGAATACGCTCCAAAGACAACAAATAATGGACCCATAGCTCACCAACCCATGTACAATTTCTTGTGGCTCTGTAATAAACACTTCTGAGTACAGAAGGCACCTGCACAAAAGAGCATCTCTTGATACTATAAAGAGAAAAATATCATGATGACTGAATCTACATCTATTGCCAAAGAAATTTTTAAAAGGACCTTCAGGGTTCTATCCAGGTAACTTGTATATCCCATCCATATATCACTTGAAACAGGAAGCTCTGAAACAGCTCGCTCATACAGGACTAGAACACGAGCAGGGTCACCAGAAGACTCCTCAAATTTGATGTATTTCTATTTCACCCACACACAAAAAAAAACATTGAGTTTACTAATAACAATAATCGGGAAGTAAATGGCAATGAATTTGGTGAAATAGCACTTGAAAAAAGAGTAACCACCATATGAAACTTAAGCTTGGGAAGATTGTAAGGTGGCAAGGAACCTAACAACTCTTTTTTTTTTCTCAGACGAGAGCTGTGTATCATTATATTAAGCAGAAGAAAATGGGGAAAGAACACAAGGAACCTAAGTACCTAACAACTCACATAGTGTTATTCACAATACAAGGGGCAAACTGATTCCTTCTGGTTCCAAATAAAATTTTCCTCAAACATATTTATCAAGCAGGGCCACGGATCAAAGCATAAACAACTGGAATAAAGAAACTATAAATCTCAAATGGAAGAACTGAAGAATAAAATGTTTTTCCAGCAAGATCATCAAATGAAATTGTAAATCTACAAAGTGAAACAAGCCAAAAAAAGGAAATTCAAAGAAAACAAGTTTTTCGGCACAGATGTAGCTTTTCACCACAGATTTGAGACAAGAGAACTGCTCAGAGTCTCAGACAGACCTGATTTAAAAAATATGCAATGAAATGACACACTAATAGGTTAGCATCTCAACTATGAAGTAGATAGTAGCAGGATGAACTGTAAACAAGGTTTAAGTTAAGCAATGACAGATCATAAATTACGTTCAGCATACCACAAATTCCTGCAGTTTGTCAGCTTCAGATGTGCCTGCATTGCTTAGTTGATCCTCGTATTGCTTCCTTTCATTGTACATATCATTGGCCTTTTTGTAAGCAGATGCGACATTTGAGGGGACACCATCAAAATCTGCACCAGGATCGTTTGCATTCCCTTGCTCAGCCTCCCAGCTCTTATACTCAGAAAGTGTAGATTCCATATCAGTCAAAGGAACAGATAACTGGCGGTGGAATAGTGTGCGTATACGCTGAACTTGCTTTTCCCTCTCCTCGTCATTGGCATCAGCGATGGTGATCAAAATGGCCATCTCATATTCTCTATAAGCTGCCCATAGTTTGCTACCCTCGGTAACATGCAGCCCCCCTGCAGTAATAGCACTTTCAAACAAATTTCTCATTTTGGAGAGGCCAGATGGTGTACATTGTGATACCGACTGATCATGCTCTTCAACATAATCAAGGTAATCCCGCCATAACTTGATGGACTGCAATGTCAGAACCACCACAATAAGTTAGCACTCCACAGCCCACATGCTCAATGGTTTAACTACAATATCACAATAACGATCCAACATACCAGGTATTCTTGCACCCCACGCTCGTAGAGCTTTTCAATATCACCAAAAGATTCATCACTGCGACAAGACAAACAAGACAGAAAAAGAAAACCACAGAATGAAACTTATTTTCCCACAAGATTGAAGAGCAGTATTTTATGCACAGACTGCACACGATTTGGGTACTTCATGAAGGCATAAATGTAGAAAACAATCACAAACCTCGAGCTCAATGAGATCTCATCCTTAGCCCACTCCTGCCACATCTTAGGGGTTAGAGGAAAGTACTTGTTCATCTCCTCCCTTGCCACGCGCAGCTTCTCAATGTTGCCTGACTTCCTCAAGCACTGGATATACTGCAACAACAAATGCAAAACACTCACCAACAGCAAGCAGCAAGCTAACGGTACGGGAAGCTTCTCAAATCTCAATCAACAGTGACCACTCCATCTCCATGCAAGGCAGCAAATAACAGCTACTAACATCGGGAAGCATTCCAGTTACCCATGACTAGGCAGATAATCCAGTGATAAGATTCCACACTAATTCTCAAATGGAGCTCACGCCGCGGACCAAAATTAGCATCCAAATGGCCCCAACTAGACTAAGAAATACTAGGACCCAATGCGTAAGAGCACGCAATAATTCCAACCCTAGTGAAGCTGCCAGCAAATGCCCAAACCAACACTAGTGGCTAAACCCACTCAAAACCCTAGCGCGCCATGGCAGCCGGAGAGGAGGAGAGCGCGGGAGGGAGGGCGAAGGATACCTGCACGTGGGTCTCGTAGTCGAGTGGCTGCTCCCTGAGGGATTGCTCTAGGGTCTGGATGCGGAGTTCGTCGTCGGCGGCGGCTCCCTCGTCGTCGGAGTCGGAGTCCGACGAGTCCGAGTCGGAGCCCGAGGGCGCGGCGGCATCGGGCATCTCCGCGTCGTCCCCGCCTCCTCCACCTGCTGGCTCGGGCGCGGGCGACACCTCGGCCGCCTCCGGCAGCTCCTCTTCCGTCGCCATGTCTCTCGTCCGTGCCCGTGTGCCAATGTGCTCGACTGTACAATCTCAGGTGGAGGTCGATTCGTTTTCCCCAATTCTAGAATTTCCGGACAAGGGCGGTTCACAAATTGATTTCTTTTCAGAAGGAACCATGTCCATTTGACAAAAATAGGTCAGTGACTTCTTGCTTCAATTTTTTTTATGAATGATCTCACAGTACTCAATGATATATAAAGTTTTCTTACTGTTTCTTGTTTTCATTTCAGATTATTTAAGAGCTCAAATATTCAATAATCGATGACATAGCTAAAACAACATAATTTATAGGGTCCACAAACCATGTTAGCCAAAAGCATGTGAAAAAAACGTTTTGAAATATAAAGCTTTCTTATTGTTTTTCTTAGATCATTATTAAGGGGCTCAGATATTTAATAAAAATAAAATAGGTAAAAATTGATAATGTGTGGGGTTCACATGCCACATTATCCAAAATAAAATCGTTTTAGAATGGTTATTAGGTGATTTTGGTCGATTTTTAAAGTTGGGGGACTTATGATACAAGTTCAGGCTTCACTCTTAGAATTGCTCATGTAAATCATACACGGTATCATTGAAATATTCGTTTTAATGTCTGTGTTGTGAGATGATAGTTGTCCGCGAAAATAAACATGAATAAGAGCTAGTGTAATCAAAAGAAACCCTGGTTGGGGCAACTTGGTAAATTACTACACAATGGATGACTATTTCAAAAAGCCTTTTTGTGTATTTCAAATACATACTTGGTTGCAACCGTTGAACATATCAAAGAGTGATAAGATTTCAATCATCTAATAAACAACAATAACATTATTGACTTTTTTGTCGCATCATGGCTTTGTTTGTGGCATCCTCTACTCATTCACTCTCTACGTGAGTTCCGTGTGGAAATTCATACGTTCTGCTCCCTCCATCCCAAATTGTAAGTCATTCCAAAAATCTTGAAGAGTCAATTTTTTTTAAGTTTGACTAAAATTATAGAGAGAAACACAAAGATTGATGACATCAAATAGGTATAATATGAAAATATAACTAATGAAGAATCTAATGATACTTACTTGGTATGATAAATATTATTATTTTGTTATATAAATTTGGTCAAACTTGAAAAACTTTGACTCTCCAAGATTCTTGGAATGACTTACAATTTGGGATGGAGGGAGTAGATTCTAGATCGACTAGACGTTTGGAATTTGAGAAGTTTTTTTATAAACGAGAAGTTGATGTTTATACTTTACATTTACCTGCTTTGCGATGGAGACCTTCAACCGTTACTGATATACTCATATATCTATCCGTATTTGCAACCAAGCTCCTGCATAGTCAAATCCAGGGACCTCAATGTAAAATCCCCAAATTCCCGCGTCCCGGGGGAACCCTCCCAACTGTTCTTCCCTTCTCTTGCATTCCACCGCGCCCACCGGAAGGGAAGACTCCAGGCTCACGCCACGGTTTCACACGAGCAAATCCCGCCGCCTCCTCCCCGCGCACGCACCCCTTCCCATCCTCCCCGGAGCACGAGGCGAGGCGAGCCGGGCCGCCGGATATGGCGCCGGCGGCGCCGGACGGCGGGGCCGAGTCGCAGCGGCAGGCGGACCTGCTCAAGCAGGAGGGCAACGCCTTCTTCAGGAAGGAACGCCTCAGCGCCGCCATCGACGCCTACACCGGGGTAAGCCTGACTGACTCCCCACTCCCGGCGGCCGGATTCTCCGCCTGATTCGCGTGTTGCGCGCTTGCCGTTCCAAATACCAGTTATATAGGCGTCCTTTCTGTTCCCCTGTTCAATCGGTGCGCTGTGGAGTGGGTTACAAGTGTGGTGCGCAGCATTTTGCTGAGCGCGGCAGCGCGTCTGGTGCGTCCCGCTGATAGATTCTCTGAATCTATGCTGAATTATCCGAGATTGCTTCCTGAATGCTACTGCGTAGTAACCATGGCCTGGTGAATTGGTCGGTGGTGTTGGCACAGCTGTTCAGAATGGTTCACGTGATATGTTTTGCCTCTTGTGTTAAAGAAAAATACTTGGATTGAAGACGGTTACCTGTTGGCTGTTGATGTAGGCTTATTTGTGGGCAGTGGTTAGGTGGTTCGATTACTGATTTTAAATATTGCTTCCTGCTATATGGAGTAGTTTGTTTGCTTAAAAGTTAATACAGAGATACTTGCTATCTAGTTGAGAGTTGCTGTGCAACAATGCAGGTTGCAGAGAATTTTACCTTTTAAGCTATTGTGGGACTAGGCAATGCTAATGTGCTGTCCTTTGTAGTTTGCTAGACATTTAATGTTAGGCAGGGAAATGGATTAAGAGGGGGTTGCTGGGAGAGGTACAAAGTTGAATGGAGCGTTGATAGAGATTTTTCCAATCTTTTGCCAGGGTGTACAAACATCATAGGCTTATAACATTCCTATCTTGCAAACCACGGACTTATTGCAAAATTGATTCTAGATTAAGGAACGTGACATCAGATGAGTTGGTTTTAGCCACTCAGCTAAGGTTATAGCCTACCTCTTGCTCTAGTTACCTGGGTAGCCGCTTTTGTCTGGCATTTCCAAGAAACTGATGTCAGTTGTAGTAAATGCACATACATAGTTGAATCAATGAACACTAAATGTTAGTAAAACAGATGTCATCTGTAGTTGAAACCCTGTATATCTTGCACATTCCTTGCTAACTTCAGTGCCTATTTTGGTTGACAGGCCATAACTCTCTGCCCAAATGTTGCAGTATACTGGACCAACCGAGCACTTTGCTATAGGAAGCGGAAGTATAAAATTGCTAGCCCTTTATATTGTTTCGTATTATTGATAATTTGGTGCACAATCTGAGTGTTTGCATCGTATTATGTTCCTCTCTAAATGGCCAGTGAGTGGGCTAAAGTTGAGGAAGATTGCAGAACGGCTATCCAGCTTGACAGCCAGTCTGTTAAGGTGAGTGGGTGCCTTGACTTGTCTTTCATTAAATTAATTCATGTATGCATTTTTGTTCCCATCTGACTATGAGCATATACCAAATTATCGAGAAAGCACTCTGTGCATTCTATATACCTTGTTTTCTCATAAGGAAAGGAATTTCATTTTGATCAAAAATTTTCATTGATCAAACATGTAATATAGTTAGTATACCAGTATCACACCTCTTGCGCATATCCACATGCTAGCTGAGTTATGCTTCATTTGGTATTTGTGGGAACCTTCTTTTCAAGAAGTAGGTGAAGTAAAAACTTGTAGACATTTGATCCATGAATTTTCCATTTGTATTGCATTTTTTATGATCTATTCACATTCACTCGTGGGCACACCACAATGCAAGTGATAACTAAGAATATCTATTTTAGAGCCAAAACGAAACTATTTTTTGGAACTGTTATGATTCTGTATGCTAACTTGATTGTACGACTTAGCACAATATGAAACTGACCTTAATTTCACAACGTCTAGTGATGGCCTGGTGACGTATTTAGTAAGATATATGCTTCATACATGTACAGGGTTTATTCCAAGATTCTTTGACTTCTTCAAGGGAGCGTGTAATGTATGTTTATAAGTACATCTTGGGATGTGATATTATGGTGTCAAGGGAAGGAACATATAACCCAAATAAAACCAAACACCATAGAATCTGTTTTTTACTTGTTTGCAAACTTCAATCCATCTGGACTCTCTGGCTTTAATCATTTTGAATTGGACTTGATTCACTGTTGAAATTGAGGTAGCACTGCATTTCAGCATAGTTCTTTTTTCTTTCCTGGATGAGGAAAACATCACATTTATCCTATCCAACAATGTTAATACTCCTAATCTCGTCTTAAGATGATAACTTGCTTATTTTGTTGGCAGGCGCATTACATGCTCGGGCTAGCTCTTGTCAACAGCCAAAGATTGTCAGAAGGAATAAAATCACTGGAGAAGGTATCCTTCTCCCTCACAAGCATGTGTGTGTGTGTGCTTGTATTACTTTTCTAGTTTGCTGTTTTAACTTATAATCAGTTTTGAACATCTTTACCAACCATCAACAGTTGCCCTCTTCAAAACTTTTATCAAGCTGAGCTCCCACAGTTACTTGCTTCAGCTGTGCATGCCTGTGTATAAATAAAAATAATGTTCTCATGGTGGGCTGACGATCTTATTTCTTTGGTCCTAGCATCGAACTTTTATGTATAAATAAAGGCCTCAAGCTGGTCTTTGCTCCTGCTACATCTTGTCACATACAATGTTAGCTGTCTCGGCACAGGATTGGTAAAAGAGCATAGAACACCACTTTTGACAAAATATTATCATCCAGATACACTGTTCTTGTATTTTTCCAACTGGTAAGGACAACAGTTCTGAGTTCTGACCTGAGTCTGAATTACGAATAGTTGAACTGACAATTAGACAGCACATGCAAAAAGCAGGGAAACTATAATTTCTAGTGCCACCACCTTTAGTGCAGTTCTCTCTTTGGACAAATTATGTTGTTTGAGTTAGAAATTTAGAATTCAATTTCTCTTCATTCCATTTTTAATGATGAACCAAACTTTTCAAAACTAGTCCTTGGAGCTTGGAAGGGGTGCACATCCTGCAAGCTACATGGTTGAAGAGATATGGCAAGAACTTTCCAAAGCAAAATACATCGAATGGGAGAGCTTATCAAGAGAGCGAACTTCTCAACTGCAAAAGCTAAAGTGCGTGACGAATTTATCTTTTCCTGACAGGGTTATACTGTAGTACCCTAATGTATTTGTTCCGTGTTTTCCAGAGTAGCATGTAAAGAAGCCATAAGGTGTTACAACAGCCTTGATAACCCAGCTGCAGGTGTACCAGTAGAACAGCTAAATGAGCTCGACGAAGTTTTCAAGAAGGCTGCAAAAGCTGATACTCCAGCAGAAGTACTACACTGCCTCACACAATATTTACTCTGGCCGTTTTGTCTGGTCTAGCCACTCAGCCTATCTTATTTGCAGGTTCCTGACCATCTCTGTTGCAAAATTACACTTGATATATTCAGAGACCCGGTGATCACCCCAAGTGGGGTTACTTATGAGAGGGCTGTACTTCTTGACCACCTTCAAACGGTAACCGACACAAGCACTGACAGTTTCTTGCAAAACCCTTGTGTTTTACATATCAAATTTATGAACTTTGTAATAATTTATATAGGTGGGGAAGTTTGACCCCTTGACCCGTGAGCCACTTGAACCTCACCAGCTGGTTCCGAATCTTGCCATCAAGGAAGCTGTACATGCATTTTTGAGCGAGCATGGCTGGGCTTACAAGATTAGGTGATTGCTTTACATACGGGGTTGGAGGTAAGATTAGCGATACAGGTTTTGGCTACTGTCAGATTTGACGGTGGGAATTTTTGTTTACTGTTGGGGGTGGATTTTAATCTGGGATGGCTGTGTACAGATTCACCTTCTCCAGTTGTTTGTCTGCCTGTACATATGAGATGCTTGCTATTATGATATTAATTGTAAACAGTACACCAAAGGAAGTGAAGTTGAGTGTCTGAATTCCTGACTGCTGTTTTTTTAGGGAATCAACAGAATTCTATAGGATTTATCAGATGTAGAACGGCTTGCCCACTAGTAAGAACCAAGAGGGAGGGGAAATGGTGATTCGAGCTGATTCCATCACAATCATGCCATGCTTTTTATTATATGAACCGTGATTGGTGAAGTTTATGAGTCATTTACTAAAAGGTGCCTCCTCTGGTTGAGGTTGCCAAGCAATCCCATTCGCAAGCAAAAACGACTACACGAGCTTATTTTCCTTTCGTCAATATCGAGCCGGTTCGTTTCATCGTAAACGATCGTGGATTATTTACTGCTGGCTGATTTGGTATGAGAGAAAAATACTGTTCCAGCTTATAATCTACGATCGTATAAGCCCAGCCTGTTGATCATAGCTGCCACCACAGGTGGCTGCAACAGGGACATGCTGCAGTTGCTGTGGCTTTGCACAGAAGTGTCAATATCAAAGAAGCCAGCAACTGGGAACTTGGCGAGATTATGTTACACGAGTTTGATAACAAATGCATGATCCTGATTCCTGGTTGCATCCTCAGTTCTGAATCTGCTGGGCTTTTTTTGTTGTTGTTGTGAAGAGAAGTGCTAAATTGAGCCGGGAAAACAACAGCAGCTGGCTCGTAGGGGTGTGTCTTCCTGTCAACGCAGCAGCTGACTGCCTGTATACGTAAAGCCATCGCCATCGTGGGTTGGCATCATGCAAAGCCTCGCGTCTCATTCGTGGATGGCCGTGTTCAGCGAGGGAGTGCCAAAACGGCAAGGTGTATGCGTTGACTACCACTGCATGTTGCAAGTGAATAGTACTGCAGTGCAGGCTGGTGGGGTGACATGACCATGGACCGATGCAAGCTCTCAGCCAGTCAGCAGCCGCTGAAATCCTCCAACTCCAGATAAGAAACCTGACAAGTTGAGGCCACATCTCTACTTTGTTCACTTCTGAAGCTACAGCTCAGCTCAGTTGCTCCTTCCCTGATCGTCACCTCACCCTCACCTATGGAGTAGTACGCACTAACCAAAACCACGCCCCTATAAACCACCACCATGGCAAAATGTCACTGCGGGCGTACGTGCAAGAACTGGAGCGGCTTCGCTGCTGCACCATGGGGAGCATGGACTACGACAATGACAAGAAGCCCAGGGAGCAGCAGATCAGGAAGTCGAGGACCATGCTCCTGCTCCTGGTCCTCACCAACGCGGCCTCCATCCTCATCTTCTCCGGGGCCGGCGCGGCACTCCACGCGCACGTCCGGCGGCACTACCCGGCCGTAGTCCACGCCTGGGGCTCGGCGAAGCTGCTCCGCGAGCTCAACGTGACCGGGCTGGCGCTCGCCGCCAGCCACGCGGAGGTGGTGGACCTGTCGGAGCGCCTCACCGCGGCCAACAAGGTCATGGAGACCATCCTCGGCGGCAAGGCCGCCAAGCACGACATGGAGGCGGCCCGGGAGGAGCAGCGGGAGGCGGCGGCGGGCGGGCTGTGGCAGCGGGACCGGGACCAGGACCTCGGCGGCGAGCTGAAGCTGGCGGTCGGCCCGCACAGGCTCCCGCACCGGCGGCTGATGATCGGAGGGGCCGGCGGGGGCGGGGGTGGCGACGCGGTGATGTTCCCGGCGCTGGGGCAGGCGTGCCACCGGTACCGGGACGAGCTGGAGCGGTACATGAACTACACGGTGGGAGGGGAGTGCCCCTCCGACGAGGTGTCCACGCAGCGGCTGATGCTTAAAGGGTGCGAACCGCTGCCGCGGCGGCGGTGCCGGCCGCCCACCCCGGCAGGGTACGTGGAGCCCACGCCGCTGCCGGAGAGCCTGTGGGCGATCCCGCCGGACACCAGCATCGTGTGGGACGCGTACACGTGCAAGAGCTACGGCTGCCTCGTGAACCGCGGCAAGGCCAAGGGCAGCTACGACTGCAAGGACTGCTTCGACCTCCGCGGCCGGGAGAAAGGCCGCTGGGTGCGCCGCCCCGGCGAGAAGGCGGACGACGAGCGGAACTCGCTCGACTACACCATCGACGGAGTGCTGGGGTTGCTTCCCAAGGGCAGCGTGCGCATCGGGCTTGACATCGGCGGTGGGTCCGGAACGTTCGCGGCGCGGATGCGGGAGCGCGGCGTCACGGTGGTGACCACGTCCATGAACTTCAACGGGCCGTTCAACAGCTTCATCGCGTCGCGCGGGCTGGTGCCCATGCACCTCAGCGTGGCCAGCCGGCTGCCCTTCTTCGACGGCACGCTGGACGTGGTGCACTCCATGCACGTGCTCAGCAGCTGGATCCCCGACGCCATGCTCGAGTCGGCGCTCTTCGACGTCTACCGGGTGCTGCGCCCCGGCGGCGTGTTCTGGCTGGACCACTTCTTCTGCCTCGGCACGCAGCTGGACGCCACGTACCTGCCCATGTTCGACCGGATCGGGTTCAAGAAGCTGCGGTGGCACGCCGGCAGGAAGCTCGACAGGGGCATCCACATGGACGAGTGGTACATCTCCGCACTGCTCCAGAAGCCCAGGAGGTGAAGAACCTGCACTGGACGTATCCGAGAACCACACGACTCGCAACTTTCTGTGTTATGCTTCTCATTGAGTTACTTGGTTAGTGTGTGTATTTATGTATGCATTCAGTTCAACCCAAAAGGTTAAACCGGCGAGAAAGTCGGTCAATTCTATTTAGCGAGTTACATTGGGACCCAAGTGCAGCCAGACAAAGCCTTAAGTAAAATTCTTGCTAGCTTGCCTTGATACAGATGTGTCGATATTTAGAGCAACGATTACATTAGCTTCTTTCTCATGCAATGCAACTATAGCTATCTTATCTCTAAACAACCAATTACAATTGCTCGACTTGCATAACCAAACATTAATATCTCTAGGCCGACTGACAAGCAAGTCTCTAAGCTGACTACCCATCTTCTTCAGCTTCTTGCGTGCGAATCTGCTCTAAGTCGACTAACAAGCAAATCAGTAGTAGTGTTTACAGTTTAGGCACCCACAACAGACCACCTCTGACCTGATAGCTACATGCATATCTAGGATTATACATATATTAGGAAACAAGAGTAGTGATCTCCTACTAACTAGTGATTGTTGATCCAGGTAGATTCAAGCCTTTTCTTCTTCATTCTTTTCGTTTGATACTTGATCTCGATCAATCTATCCATGACAGAATGATCGCTATGCCCCACTTGTTGACCTGATCAATCAATCATGCAACTATCAGTGACCACTGACCAAAATCCCCCGAAATTTCTCTGTTTTCATACAGTTCTTGACCTTCAAGATTGAACATTTAAAGCTGGCCTACTATTGCTTACCCTTCAGAGCAAGAAGGATCCAAGAAACATATCACTTCCTTCAGAGCATAAAGGTCAATCTTCTTAATCTGAAGACACCATTTGCCTCCTGGTTAGTCATCAAATCAAATAGTAAAGCATAATATGCAGAAACCAGTTGATTCATAATATGCCATGCCAACCTCCAGTTTATCCATTTTTGCCGGATGATAAGATGGAAGCCATCTAAACTCTCCAGTCAGTTTAATACACTTGCCAACATTTTCAGGGGAAACAAAGCCCATTGCAACCTGCATGCAAGACTGCACAATGGAAATGGTTTCAACTTGTATTAAAAATAAACATTATAGCAGTCTACGCTGTGTCAGTATGTCACACCTTCAAATTCCTGACTTGGTGAGGACATCCAGCAGGAACAAAAAACAGCTTCACCAAGCTTCTGCTCGAACGTCCAAGGTTCAACACCTGAAAGGAGCATGCCACCACATAGGGGAAAATGCATAATAGCACCAGACAGACACTGCATTTGTGAGGTCTGAATACGTCACACAAACAAGTTCACTAACCATATTCTTCCTTGAGCTTTCTCTTATGCTCGTCAGTTAAGTAGAAAGCCTGATCATGAACTGGGTGAAACACCTGCTTCATTAACATAATGGTTGGTCACAATAGGAAAAATATCAGAAATATATTTCTAAAGAAGTGCACGGGGAAACATACCTGCTTCACAGGATTACAGTAGATATGCCGAAACTCTGAGGCATGTTTCCTAAGATAATCTTGTAATTTATCAGAATCCTCTCTTCAGAAAATATCCCATAAAGCACCACCAGTTCTCTTATGCATCAGAGGATTACACAAGGTATTTGATGTTTCATCAAAAGCTATATTACTGGATTCAGTAGAAGATTGTGATAGGTTATGTTCAGTGCCTGCTTCTAAAACACCGTAAAGTTCCCGAAGATCTTGTTCTTTCATTTTCTTTCTGGTCTTCTCGATCTCACAAAGCTCATGTTCCTCGTAGGACACTTCTTCTGTGTGTGTCAAAATATTTACGTGGTAAAACAGACAAGTCTCACAATTACTGCCATGACAAACTAATGAAACCCAATCAACTGCTAAATAAGAAATATAGAACTATCAATTGTTAGTGTATACACATACAGCTTGAGGATCAGATCAGAGAAAGCAATATAAAGCGTGTTCGAGAAACAAAAGCAATGAGACATAAAGAAAGCAAGATGCAGGTTATCTAGTAATAAAGACATAGCTTTGCATAAGTTCTAATCTACTTTGAAGGTACAAGACATCCGCAAATGCTATAAACTGAAAAAAAAAGAAATACCATTAACAACACAACACATACCACATCAGACATGTCACAGTGAAGCTTGGTCACAGAGTCACCTCTGCCTAACTCTTGGGGAAATCCATAAGCTATGCAAATGTTTGGCCCAAGATCTGGCTTCAGGACACCATGAGGAAGCTTGACAGCAAGATTTAGCAGACCATATCGAGGATCAGTGTACTGAGGAAACGGCAACGCACTGATAAACTCGGCACTGTGGCGAAGCAATCTCTGATCAAACAAATTAGATGGTGGCCAATCCTTTAGCTTAAGCATCTCAGGCCAGTGTGTCGTGGAGTGTGTTCTGCCTTGCTTATATCTCAAACAAAACTGGTGTAGACTTATGTCCACCTGAAATAATAAATTGTGATTCAAAGTGGTTAATACTTTACTATTCGCTGTGAACAATAGATCGCATAGTTTATCTGCAGCATACAAATAACAGCATCCTTTGAATACTAAAATTGCAGTTAAATTCACTGATCAATCAACGAGCTCCTTTACTACTTGTAAGGCATGTCCTATTTATTTTTATATTTTTTTTTGAACCAGGAAAACAGCAGGGGAAGCCCCCACTGTTAGATTTTATTAAAACACAAAAAACAAAGACTGAGCCAAACAAACAGGAAAACACTTCAGCTAAGCCCTAGCAATGCTAGAACAAGAAGAAAAACAAAGAACCACTAAACACAAGAATCAACCCAGGAGAGAAAAACAGATCGCTTGTTTTCAGAAATCCTATATGCTTGAAGTCGAGCTTCATCTTTGAGAGATCTTCTCCAGGAGAGAAAAACATGTCCTATTTCTTGACATGGTAAACAAAACTTCTACAGAACTATACCATCACCATGAAAATCGACGTGGGAAAAAAAGCTGCACAACAGATCATAAGCATAGACAATGCAGGGAGATGAACATGTCCATATCCCACCCCATATAATGACAATAAATAGGAAAAGTAACAGCACACTCCAAGGAAAATTTCAAACAGAAACTGACGCAAATTCATAGAATAAGAAAGAATCCACTAAACTGCACTCAGACATTCAGGGAAATAGAACTCCAAACCTGACACCAATCAAGGCAATCCAATACCCTGACAGCAAAGTGATCATCTTTTATGTTGCTGCTCTTCTTTACATCTCGCATTGCCCGCCACATAACTAACGGCTCCCAACTGAGACCAGAGGTTAACTGGAGAACATCAGAAACAATAACTGGTTCACCCTTTTCCCAATGCATCTGAAAGTGCACCAAGTCATCCTCCTTGATACCAGTGGCAACTGGACAGTAGAGGTGGTTACCACTCAGTCCTTTCCTATTTGCAGCCTCTCTCACAACATGTTTTCTTACCTTTCCTGAATGATCATAGCAAGGGCACTGATCATTTCTTTTGGCTACTGCTTTTACAAATATTTCACTCCTAACAATTCAGTTTGCTCGTTCTTCTAACTCGGAAAGCATGTTCTGTGGGAACAAGCGTTTGAGGTCCAAAACTGAGCGTCCGCAACCTCCTAGCTCCTCTGGTGGGCAAGGTATGCTACCATCACTATTTGCTTTCCACAGTAGCCGAGTGTTATTTGGGTCCTCACTAGCAGCTATGTCATGGGCTTGGTGATTTGGGACCTAGTGTGCCTCTTTGAGGAACCCATTATGTTACAATCCTTTGATAAAACATAATTCATGCCTCTAACTTCATTCCGCAGTATCCGCACACTCTCTACCTCTTCTCCTCCGGGAATCTCACCTTTGCGGATCTCAGAGCAGCATGCAAGGCACAAATCGTAAGGACAGCACTTGCAGCTTCTATGAAAATCAACTATAGAAGTTCTACACTTATTGCTGCAGAATAAGAATAATAAGACATCAGATGCTTGCGGCAATAACATTTAAGGAAACGAGGAAGTAGAAGGACCGAACCAGTAGACACGCTCGTCTAGATTGCATTTAGCTTGTTCTAACCTCACTTCATTTACCAAAACACCTGCAGATAAAAACAAATTAGCATGTAAAGCAACTCAGTTACCAGAATGTGTTATGCAACAACAGAACATGGTACCTTTTACTTTAGCCTCTAATTCCTTCTCTTCCATCTGCTCCTGTAGCAGTTTTCTCAACAAGGGAAGCAACAAGTGCAGAACATGACGAGCAAAATGGATTCGATTTACTTCAGAAATGTTCATCTTTGGAGGCTGCGGCATGTGGAATGGATAGTAATTAGGGAAGTCTAGACAGGCAATTTAGGGGAAAAAAAGGAAAGGAAAAAAATGTAAGGCGAAACAGGATATTATCTTCTTAATATTAATGATACGCAGCTTTCTTGAGTGTTCAATTAAAAAAAAGGGCAAAACAGGAGACAGGATGCCACGTGTAAACCTCTTTAGCTCCTTGCTTTCGTAGGCATGCCATGCAATTACAGTTCTTGCGACAGTATTGGCATTTTGCAGCAAATTCTTCTTCTGACAAATTGGGATACCTACTTAGTATTACCGCAAACAGATTAGGGTTGTACAAGACAAGATTAAATAACATAGAACACATTTATAGCCAATGAAATGAAAATATTGGAAGGAGATTACGTAGCAGTTCTCCTGTGCCATTCGAGAGAAAAAAAATTATGTAGCAGTTAAATTGAGCACAACAAAAATCAGTGGATGCATCTAGAGAATAAAAAAGACCTGAACCGGTGGGGGAAAGACCGCCCCCATCACCCCATAGCTTTGCACTAAGAAGTGTTAGTCGCTGAATTCTTACTTTTGGTAGTAGCAGAATTCTTACTCTCATCGAGAGATGATGACACTAGGAGTTGGGGCAATTTTCTGGTTTATTTCTCACACAAATGCCATGCCAACCTGAGGGGTTGGGGATACATATTTATAGGCTGCTAGTCAGCCAAGCATATGCCAAGATGCTAGTCCTAGATGCTAAGATGCTATCCTAAGATGCTGTCCTAGATGCTGTCCTAGATGCTAGTCCTAGATGCTAAGATGATGTCCTAGCCAGTCAAAGATGATGTCATTGATGGGCAGCAAGACCACCATGCAGCCACAAAACAGATATGCTGCAGCCCCACAAAGACCAGCCAACACAGAGACTTATCCCATCATTCTCCCCCTAAGTCTTGTGCGTCGTCTTGTGGGAAAGTTGAACCATCCCGGTCCTGGAGCAGAGGTCAAGGAACTTGATCCTCCCAAGAGGCTTGGTAAGCAGATCCGCAAGCTGGTCCTTGGTATTGATGTAGCTCGCATTGATGCTCCCGTCCTCCAAACAGCCTCGGATGAAGTGGTACCTCACCCGGATGTGCTTACTCCGTTCATGAAAAACGGGGTTCTTTGCCAGGGCCAGAGCGGACTTGCTGTCCATCATGAGCTCCACCGCTCTAGTGCCTCTGCCGAGGAGATCACCAAGCAGTCGAGCGAGCCAGAGCGCTTGAGTCGAAGCGGTGGAGGCCGCTATGTACTCGACCTCGCAGCTGGACAGGGCCACCACCTGCTGCTTGACCGACTGCCAGCTAACGAGGCACTTGCCGAGGAGGAAGAGGATCCCGCTCGTGCTCTTGCTAGTGTCGATGTCGCCGACATGGTCGAGAGTCCCCGCAATGTAGTGGATGATCCTCTTCACAGCCTGCTGGTGCTCCGTCGTCGGTCGCTGCATGAACCGACTAACGTAGCCAACGGAGAATACCAAGTCCGACCGTGTGTGGGCGAGGTAGCGAAGGCTCCCCACAAGACGCTGGTACTACATAGTGTCCACCTCCGTCGTGCACCTCCGTCGTGCTGTTGCGGCTTAGCTTCAGCCTCTCCTCCATCAGAGTGAGAGCTGGGTTGCAGTCGGTGAGCCCAGCTAGCTCAACGACGCGCTTGGCGTAGGCGGTCTGTCGAAGCGTGATCCCAGAGTCATCCTGGTGCACCTCGATTCCTAGGTAGAAGGAGAGAGGCCCCAGGTCACTCATTTGGAAGGCGGCCTTCATCTCTTCCTTGAATGCCGCCACCTCCGCATCCTTGGTGCCGGTGATCACCAAGTCATCGACGTAGACACCCACCAGCAGAGCATTTCCTCCACTGCCCCATCGGTAGATGGCCACCTCGTGCGGGCTTTGCTCGAAGCCCATCCCCTTTACGTGGAATCCAATTTGGCATTCCACACCCTCGGTGCCTGCCGCAAGCCATAGAGGGCCTTGCGCAGGCGGAGCACCTTGCCCTCCTTGCCGGCGATCGCAAATCCCGGTGGCTGGTGCACGTAGACCTCCTCCTTCAAGTAGCCGTTAAGGAACGCCGACTTGACGTCCATGTGATGAACACGCCAGCCCTCCTGGGCAGCTAGCGCAAGGAGTCACACGGACTCCATCCGTGCCACGGGAGCAAAGGCGTCGTCGAAGTCGACCCCCTCCTGCTGCACGAAACCTCGTGCCACCAAGCGAGCCTTGTGCTTGACGATGGCGCCGGCTTCATCCCTCTTCAGCTTGTACACCCACTTAAGGGTGATCGCACGGTGACCACGAGGAAGGTCAGCAAGCTCCCAGGTGTGGTTCTTCTCAACCGCATCCATCTCCAACTGCATCGCGGCGCGCCATGCCGCGTGTCTCTCGGCCTCTGCAAACGACCGAGGCTCGCCGTCGTCACACCCAAGGTGCAACTGCGCCTCCAGGTCATGAGGCACCAGTCTCGGCACCGGCTGGTCGCCGAGAAGGTTCTCCATCGTACGGTACCGCAATGGCTCGCCGTCGTGGTACGCATCGATACACTCCTCGTCGTGAGAGAGCGGAGCAGCGAGCTCAACCGGGCTATACTCGACACGAGCTGGTGTTGGAGTAGACGTGCCCGGAGAGGTGCCTGTCGGTGCTGGAGTGCATGGCGGTGCCGGCTGTGGTGGAGCCGGCAAAGAACTCATCGCAGCCGAGGTCCTGGCTGAAGAGCGTGGTGCTGTCGGAGTAGCAGGCGCCGGGGTCGGTGGAGGCTCGGGGACTGGGGTAGACGCGCTCGTCGAAGAAGAGCTACCTACTCCCCCAGCTCCCTCGAAGTGGACATACTCGACAGTGAAGTCGTCGTACGTCGGAGCCGAGCCGTCGTCCACCGCCTTGTCCCACGCCCATCCTCGCCCTTTGTTGAACACAACGTCGTGCGCCGTGCGCACACGCTGTGTCTTCGGGTCGAGGATGCGGTAGGCCTTCGAGCCCTCCGCGCAGCCGATGAACACTCCCGGAGTGCTCCTGTCGTCGAGCTTGCTGATGTGGCCAAGCTCCTTGGCGAACGCGAGGCAGCCGAAGACCCACAAGTGGGAGACCGCTGGCTTGCGCCCATGCCAAACCTCGTACGGCGTCCTACCATTGAGCGCCTTGGTAGGCGAGCGGTTGAGGATGTAGACGGCCGACACCACCGCCTCTCCCCAGAAGACAGTCGGCATCCCCCTCTGCTTGAGAAGGGCCCGAGCCATCCCCACAACCGTCTGGTTGCGCCGCTCGACGACGCCGTTCTGCTGCGGGCTGTACGGCGCGGAGTAGTGGCGCTGAATGCCCTTATCAGCATAGTACGACGCGAATTCAGCTGCCGTGAATTCGCCGTCGTTGTTGGTGCGCAGCACGCGCAGCTTGCGGCCGCACTCCGCCTCCGCAGTAGCCTGTGCGCGCCTGATGGCATCCGTAGCCTCTCCCTTGCTGCCGAGGACCATCACCCACATGTAGCGGGAGAGGTCGTCGACGAGCAGCAGGAAGTAGCGTCGTCCTCCCGGTGTGGCCGGTGTCACCGGGCCACACAAGTCCCCGTGCACAAGCTCGAGCCTCTCCTTGGCTCGAAAGCTCGCCCGCTGGGGAAAGGGGAGTCGCCTCTGCTTCGTCAACACGCAGACGTCGCAGAGCTGCTCCACATGGTCGAGGCACGGCAGGCCTCGCACCATCTCCGTGGCACTGAGCCGCTTCAGGGCCTCGAAGTGAAGGTGCCCGAAGCGCTCGTGCCACTGCCACGCCTCGTCATCCCGACGAGCAGCGAGACAGAGGGGTTGTGCCACCTGCACGTTAAGGACGTAGAGTCGATTTGCGCTTCTGGTTACCTTGGCAAGAAGGCGACGACGGCGATCCCAAATCCTCATGACTCCATCCTCAACCACCACGCGCGAACCGTTCTCATCCAGCTGTCCCAAGCTGATGATAGAGTTCCTCAACGCGGGGATGTAGTAGACTCCGGTGAGCAGCCTGTGCTCACCAGACACGGCGGTGAAGATGACGGAGCCGACGCCCTTGATCTCCACGCCGGAGGCATCCCCAAACTTGACGGAGCCTCGGACGCTAGAGTCAAGCTCGGTGAAGAACTCCCGTCGACCGGTCATGTGATGGGTGGCGCTGGTGTCGAGGCACCACCCGTCAGTCTTGTCGTTGCTGGAGCCGTCGCTGAGGAGGGTGTGTGCTTTTCTCTCGTCAAGGTGGAGGAGAGCCGCTGTGGCCGGTGCCGCTGGAGGTAGCTCGATGCTTGCATGTACCATGAACAGAGCCGGCTCCTCCTCCTCCGCCTATGCGACGTGGGCCTGGCCGCGTCGTGGTTGTTGACAGTCCTTGGCCCAATGGCCAAGCTGGCCGCAGTTGCGGCAAGTGTCGTCTCGTGCCGGCTTATGCTTGCCAGCGGCGCTGCCCTGGGCGCCTCCGCGGGCATCACCCTCGGCACATCCTCGCGCCCCGGCCTGGTGATAGTCGACGTTGCCGTACCGGACTGCCTCCCACATGTGCCGCACCTGGAGCTTTACCCTCATCACCGCAGCCCACTCGACGTAGTTGGTCTTACTGAGGGTAGGCCACCCACCGCCGGGGCCGACGTCCCTGACAACAGCCTGGAGCCCGTGGTAACCACGGTACCGATTCGGGGGGAGAGAGCCACGCTGCCTATGAAGGCCGTGCTCTCCATCGACCCGTCCGCCACCGTTGCCGTGCGCGCCTCTTCCAGGAGCGCCATCGCCGTGCGCGCCTCCTCCAGGAGCGTCACCACTGTGCGCGCCTCCTCCAGGAGCGCCACCGTCGTGCGCGCCTCCTCTAGGAGCGCCGCCGGCGCGTCCGCGCCTGTCTAGGCTACCGCCGCGCTCATGGGCGTGCGCGGCTGCCCACTACGCCGCCCACGCTCGTCCTGCCTCCCTCCCCAGCAGCTCGAGGTCCGCGTCGGCGCTGTCGTCAGCAGAAACAGAGCTGCTGATGCTGCCGCGCTGAGCCTCGACCTCTGCT